GTCGAAGTCTGGTGGGTGTGTCCAATATGTGAAATTGACGATGGAGTCGCTGTCGGCGGTGCCTTGGTCTGGAACGAAATCAAGAACGAGGACGTTGTTCTTCAAGACTGCCTTGCCAATGTAGCGTCCACCTCTCCCGTGGTACAGCTTGAACTCCTGGATGGTGCTGTCTGCTTCGAGATGGATTCCCTTCGCCATTGGTTGACTGACGATGAGTAAGTTATAGCCGAATCCTTCTGCGATTAAAACCTTTAACATCTGCAGAATAACGTTGGTTTCTTGAGACTGAAGTTGAACTATCCCTTGTCGTTGTGTGCGCAGGTTCTGTTTATTGGCGACAGTGATTATGACCTCGCGTTGAAGTTGGTGTTCCCGTTGAACGAAGCAACCCGAGGAGCACATGTGTTGTCCGCAGCAGCTATCCAAGAACCAGGTGTCTTTCCCGGATGGCTTGCTCCGGGCGATGGCTGCGTACGTCGGATTCGGCTCAATGATTCACGGCGAGGGGTGCTTTCGTCGATCTGTTCTTCTGGTGAGTAGTATGGTGGTGATCCGGTGATGCAGGAGTCTGTTGTTCTTGCCATGCAACTTACAATGTTTCTTGCACCTTGCGCAGGTTTTGTCGTTGATGTCGTTGAGGACTGTACTTGACTGGTGGGATGCGCTTTTGTAGAAGTAACTTGACTACTTGAGAACCGAAGTTCACGTTGCGGCGGCGTTGACTGCTGCTGATTTGGGCAGTGTGTGCGAGGGTGTCCTGACGTCTTGCAGAGATGGCAGAACGGCGGTACGTACTGTTGAGCTTGATGTTTGTTCTGTCGATTATTGTTGCTGTTGTAGCGCCATTGAGTGTGAAACGCGAACTCTGGTGCTGACGCTCTTTTCTTGTGTCGTTCTTCGTGTAGGTCCATGTCATGCTGTTCAGCATGAATTTCAACGCAGAGTGTTGCTTCGGAGATCTTTCCGCGAGATCGGAGGATAGCTCGAGTGGAGCGCCAATGAGGACCGAGGCCAGAGATGACAACTGTCACGATGGCTTCTTCGGATATTGATCCTCCGCATCGAAGGAGTCTGTTGCGTAGCCTGCGACAACGGCTGATATACGCCATCCCCTTTTCGTTGGGTTTCATTTCCACTGTTGTCAGCTGTGCCATGAGACGACTTTGATTAACACTGTCTGTTGCTTGATACAGGTTCTTTAGGTGGTTGTACGCGAGCTCGGCGGAGTTGCCGTATCCACGATAAGACGGGATGTTCTGCTGCTCATTCGCCGTTATATTCCGTAGCAGGATTGTGTACGCCATCAGCGACTGATACGTGTTTTGCTGCTTGTCGTTCAGTGTTCCGTGCATTGGGTATGGCAGGGATCCGTCAAATAATCCGAGGATTTGCGCGCCTTCCATCATCAGCTCAAACTCAAATGACCAGGTATAAAAGTTTTTGCCGCCGAAAGGTGTCGATGTCTGCAGTTTCAAGACGTGCCCGAATTGCGATTGTACCTGAAGCGCGTCCATTGTCTTTTCTTGTCCAGGTGAAGGCTGCTGGTGTGGCATGAAGCTTATGGAGCCACGTTGAGGCTCGTACGGAGCAAAGGTGGGTTGCTGCTGGTTTCCGTGCGCACAGGATGAGCCGTCGAGGCTCATTGGAGTAACGCCGTTGTTGTTGTCGCTGTTGCTTGATTGCGCAAGTGCTGTTTGCTGGTGCTGCTCGTAGAAGGACATGAAGGAGAAGAATTTATTTATCATACTTGGGTCGAAGCCTGTTGCCTGGTTCGCAGGAGTTTCAGTAGACTCAGCTGCCGGTCTTGTTGCCGTGCCTCCCTCTGTCTGTAAGCCAGAGGCTAGAGGTGAAGTAGAAGTATTGCCGGAAGAGCCGTTAGAGGAGCTTCTCTCCTTCTGTGTTGCCATGTCTTCTATTGTTGTAGGTGTGTTAATGGAGTTGGATCTTGCCTTGTGAGCTCTCATACCATGTTGGGCTGAGAAAAGCCCTTAGGATCTTTTCAAGGCTAAGACCCTGAATAGGAAAGTTGTAGTTGCGGAAGCGTTCTTAGTAAACTTGTTGAACCAACTTGCACTAGTGTGTGAGAGCAAGATATTGAGTATAGCAAGGTAATACACAGGGATTTGATAAGATTACAATAAATGTGAAAGGGTGCAACTAACTGTTTTGCTGTTGCGGTTCGATACAGTGACGACTCGGGCAACTGCTCAATACCGAGTCATTTGTTTGTCCTTGCTGTCGCGCTGTATTTCGTCGAGTCAAGGGTCGCTGATCTTTGACCTTCGCGTAACCTCCAGCTGTTACTTTATGTCAACCTCCTCGGTTGACTCGCCGTTGCTCCACTGTGATTCACCTCGTTTGCAGTCTATTGTTTCAACACAACAGGAGCGTTAAATTACTTGTTTCCAATAGTCACAACGTACACACGCGCGTGCGTCATCCATGGTATTATTCAGGTCGGTAATAGCTGAGGCTGTTGCATCCGAGTCCGACCATTTGGTAAGGAAATGAAACAATAATGCTCTATTTGCACGTACTTCGTCTCTTTCGGAAACTGGTCGTAAAACTAATTTAAGCTGGGCCGGGGTTCACTATCAATTTTCCATGCCGCTTCATAAGAGGTTTAGAAGTTATCAACTGGCATGCGGAGTAGGCTACACGTCACCAACATTAGTACAAGGCTGAAGCGAATGCTGTGTATGTATGTGTGTATGCGCACATATGTGTGTCAGAAGTAGCAGTACAAAGTTTAGAAACAGAAAGAGTGGTTTCACTAGCAGCAGTTGGGATACATATAGCAAACCCTAACTGGGTTGTACCCGCTATAGAGCACCCCACTACAGGCTAGATAATAACATTCTGACACACCCCCATAGCCAAAGTGGGGTGTAATCAGCACAATGAGCAGGCATAGCAGGAGTTCACAATAATAAGCAAAGCTAGAGGTAATCACAGCGGGCAAGTGAGGAGGAGGAGGAACTGTGGAAGGAGAGAAGATGGGAGGCAACGACTGAAGCTGCAGAGGCATGGGCACAGGAGCGGCTGACTCAGTGGCTACCGAAGCAAGGGCGACGGACTACTGGAGTGACTGGCTCTGCGGCTAAGACGAGCGGCAGGAGCAACGGACCCACTGGCGACTGGTGCAACAGGCTCACTGGCTACCGAAGCAAGGGCGACGGACTACAAGCGCTGCAGGCTACACGACAGCTATCTCCACACAACCTCCTCCAACTGACCCACACCCTTGACACACACCCCCTGCTAAACCCCTAACTCCACTCCCACGTCACCCCCCTAGCGCCATTCCCCTCGGCTCCCACACCTCCACCCCCCTCAGCAGCAGCTGCAGCAGAGGGAGACGAACAAGGAGGTGGGGAGAGGGAAGGGGAGTACCCACACCGCGCACCCCCATGCTCGCCACCCCACACCCCCCACCACCGCGGAACGCACGGCGGCACGGGAGGAATGGGCAGCACGGGGGGGGGGGGGGGGGACGGTACAGGAGGGGCCGCGCGTCTCTCCTCAGGGCGCCAAAACGGACGGGCGAGGGGGCGCGCGCGGCTCCCCAGGGCGCCGCGACAAGAAGGGCGGGGGCCGCGCGTGCTCCCCAGGGCGCCGCGACGAGCAGGGCGGGGGCCGCGCGCGGGTCCCCAAGGCCGCGCGACGGGCAGACGGGCCGCGCGCAGTCTGCAGGCCTGCGCACGGCCGGCAGGGCGACGCGACGGGAAGGGCGGGGGGCTGCGCGCGGGTCCCCCACGGTAGGAAACCGCCGCGCGCCTCGGGGTGCACGGCGGGCAGAAAACCGCCACGCGCCCCGAGCGCACGGCAGACAGAAAACCCTAAAAAAAAATTCGCGGCAGGAAGAAGGCGTCGCACGCCACGGGGCGTGCAACAGACAGAGTAGCAGCGGAAGCAGTTAGGTGGTGGGCCCACCCACAGGATCGACCCAAGGGGGTCGACCTGCTCTGAAACCATGTCAGAAGTAGCAGTACAAAGTTTAAAAACAGAAAGAGTGGTTTCACTCGCAGCAGTTGGGATACATATAGCAAACCCTAACTGGGTTGTACCCGCTATAGAGCACCCCACTACAGGCTAGATAATAACATTCTGTCAATGTTTGTATGTGCGTATGTGTGTTTATGTGTGTGTGTGCATGCGCGTGCGTGTGTATGTGTATGTGCGTGTGTGTGCGCGCGCATGCGTGTGTGTGTGTGCGCGCGTGTGTGTGTTTTGTGTATGTGTGTGTGTGTGTATGTGTGTGTGTGTGTATGTGTGTGTGTGTGTGTCTTGTTGTTGTTTGTTAGTTTTATATTTCCTTTTTCTTCATCATTGTTTCATGTAGCATGGGAAGTTTGCAAGTCATTTGAACGATTGTTCTTCAGGATTGTAGCTATGTGCATGAAAATCCTGGCAGGGTGACCAAAGCGCACACCTGCAATTGGTTCTAGATTTTGCCCGAAATAGTTACCCCATTGACACAAGCTTATTTCATCCAATGAGTGTCAGGAATTTGTGGGAAACAGTTCGCTTAAATTCGTTGTTCTGTCCACGACCCGCTTAAATCCGTTTGGCTGCTGCTTCTGCTTGTTTTTCCCCTCCCCGATTTTTCCAGGTCACATACAGCGCCGATCTGCTCCTCGCGCCCTGCTTTCGTCCGCTTTATGCCGCCCCACCACTCCACGGTTTTTCCTCTTGCTACGCCCTGCTCGATCTCCCTCCCAACTCCCTTCCCGATTCTTCTTCCGCATTTTCGGAACTTTGTCACGTCAATCTCTCCCCCGTCTCGTTTTCGTTCCTCTGATTCGTGCCCATTTCTATCCCGCTGCTCGTCCACATGTCGGAACTTCCAGACGCTTCCGACACCATTCGCTGCGCTTCCGTCTCGCCCCACTGACCCACGTCATCACTTCTTTTTTTTGTTCCCAGGTCACCCTGAGCCGGACTCGATCTTTTCCTTCTGCTGTGAGCTGTTGCGTCCCTACCTCCCCACCTCTTGCCAGATGGCAGGACGTGGAACCCGCCGCCACTCTCCCAACCACCCGCTCTCCATCGTGCTACTTTTCACTCCTTACCCGCCTTCCGCCTTTCACCGTGCCCCCCCTCTCCGCTCTGATTTCATGAGAGAGCGGCTGGTTTTGATGTGCTCGTGCCCCCCCTTTTGTACAATCCCCTCCCTCCCTTGCCCTCGACGCTCCTTTGTGCTTTCGCCCCCTTCTCCTTTCACAATTCCTTTTGCCTCCTGCTCTGGAATCTTCTACCCACCTGACTCGGATTGCCGCCTAGGCTCCGAGTCTCTTATTTGGGGAATCTATGGCCGCTGCCTATGCCCCCTTGCCATCGAGAATGGCTCGCGCTTGCCTAACCACTCCTGGACTTCCATTCTAGCTTCTAGAAGCTACGGTGCTGCCCCCACTTGCTGTGGCCTCCCACCTTTCGGACGTTCTAGCCTAGATTCATCACGCCATCCCCCCCTCTCCCACTTTCCGTGCTCTTCCCCATTACCCCGCCCCAGACACCCCCAGATCTGCCGAGTCGCCCCACCCCTGAGTTGGGAAGTTAAATACGCACGCCTCTTTGACACTTCTCATCCTTCCTCCAGTTTTATTCCCGCCCCCCTCAATCCGTCCCTCATGGCCCCCCCGACTCACAATCCGGACGACGAAATGTCCCTCGTTGACGAGGACCTCCAGCTCGACGGTGAGGAGCTCCATCTCGACGAGCTCCCTGCCATCACTCTTGCTCCCTCTCCCGCAGCTGACGAGACCCCGGCGGCAAAAAAGGTTTGCGTGGGGGCCCCTCCGTCTGCGCCTGGCCCCTCGGCACCAGCTAACAATGTCCCTGTGGTTTTTGCTCCCGCCCCGACCGGCGCCGCGTCTGGCTCCCCTGCGGGCGTCCGTTTCTCTGCAATCGCTGCTCCTTCTACGCCCTCTGTTCTAAACAGGCCCCCCAGCCCGACTACCCCCCTGGCTAGCGCCTCTCAGGGAGCTGGCATCGTCTTGACGGCCCACGCTCCTGCTCCCGCGCCGACCCGCAACCTGCGTCGTCCGAGGCCCGGCCCTGTCATGCCCCACCACCGCCTTGCAGTTGTCTCGCTGCTCATGCCCGAGGCGGGCGCTGACGCCATCCGCGCCGACCTCATCGCTCGTATCACCGCCATGCTGAAGCCGCACTTTTTCCGCCGCGGTTCTGTCCCAGAGTTTGAAGTTGCCACCGGCGAGGCGCTCCGGGTCCCGCGCCGTGCCTACGCACGGCTCTGCTTCTCTTGGCCGACGGAGGAGGAGGCCGATGACTTTAAGCGACTCTTCCCCCGTTCCATCTCTCTGAATTCCTCCCGCTCTGTGCTTCTGAAGGTGTTTGAGGACCGTAACCCGGGCTTCACAGCTGCCAAAGCCGGGGGAGCTGCCACGCTGTCGCTCCGTAACATTCCCCCGGGGTACACCCCGGAGGATGTCCGCGATTTTCTGCTGAACGGTGCGGATCCGTCCGAACCGGGCTGGCTCGCGGATCTTCAGTTCTTTCATCGCACGACCGATCCGTACGAGGAGGTGTTCCTGTCCGTTTTCACCGGCATCCCTCTCCCCCTCCCGGATGACCCGTCGTTCTCCCGCATCCCGGCGGTCATCCCGTTTGAGGACGGCTCCCCTCCTGCCCTGCTCAATGTTTCCACCCACGTGTGTGCCTTCTGCGGGAACAAGCATCGTGACTCCGATCACGAGACGTTCGCTTTCAAGCGCAAGCAGCGCCTGAACAACAAGGCTCATATCTGTGTTGCTCAGTTGCAGCAGACCAACGGTACGCCCTTCTGCCCTGCCCTCCCTTTCCCCTTTTCGCCCACTCACCTGCTTGTTTTCTGCTGCCCCCGGCTCTCTGTCTCTCTCGCCTCCAGTCTTGCAATCGTTTCTTTTCCCCTGGCCACTTTGCTCTGCTCTGCGATCGACATGCTCCGTCCTTTCGACCCCCTCCTTGCTATCTTCTGCCCCTATACTGCTCCCCCTTGCCCCCTCCCCCCCTTTCCCCCCTTGCTCTCGAGGACTTCCATCCTCTGGTCTCTGCTGGCCTTTCCCCTGTGTCCCCCGTTGCGAACCTCTCCAACCCATTCTCCCCTCCCCTTACATCCCCCCCCCCTTTCATCGCCTTCCACCGCGTTGATGCTGCAGATTTCCAACTCTCAGCCCCCCCTCCCATGTACTCGCCTTCCCGTGCTCTCCCACCATGGGATCCATCCACAAGCCCCTTCTGTACAACCCCCCTCTGCCCCCTCCCGGGCCGCCCCCCCTGTACCTCACTGCCTTACGCTTACATGGCTTCACTGTCTCACCCTCCTTGCGCCCTTCCTCCCTCGATTTGCCTCTTCGCTACCTCCCCTTTCCCGCCCCGTTCTCCTTGCACTTCCCCCATGGGCCTGCCCCCTCACTTTACACCCGCAACTCCAGCCCCTCTCTGCCTCCCTCGCTCGTGATCACCTTCTGGCCTCTGGATTTGGCATGCTTTCCTCCTGTGCCCCCCACTGCCCTCTCCTCCCATGCCTCCCCTTCCCCCCCCTCTTCGCAATCAGGCTGCCTCTGACTCCTCAACCGCGGCCCTCCCTGACAGGCCTCTCTTTCCACACTCCCCCAATACGCCCCTGCCCTGGCCCACGGCTCCCCTCTGTCACCTATGCCCGCGCCTCTCCCTCACACAGGGCACCCCCGCCCTTTTGCTTTGGCTTAACTCACTTCTGTTCCCCCTCCGGGTCTGTCCCGTTTTCCTCCCCCCCTGCTTTCCCCATGGCGGCCTTCTGGCCGCCCATGCTTCGGCCCATGGCCACTCTTACCTTCATCGGCAGAACTTCAGTCCCCTCTGCCTCCCCCCATTCTCTCTTTCTCCCCCTTGTTCCCCCCCCGCCATCTCGCCTGCTCCCCATCCATACCGCCCCTCCTCTTCCCAGGTCAACTGCTCGGGGCACGCCCGGCTGCCAACGAATTCCGCAAGGACCCTGGCCTCTTGTTTATCGGGCTCGAAACCGAGATCGAGCCCTGGACCTGCGTCCTCTGCAACTTCGCATGCGGCCCTGCCCTCGACTCTGCCATGGTGCACATGGCCTCCGAGGCGCACACCTCCAACCTGCGCGCAGCTGCCAAGGGCCCTGCTGCGAAGGAAAAGTACAGCAACTGGAGGGCCCTTACGTTCCTGGATATCCCCTAGATCGGTTCATTCCTCTCCCAGTGACTTCAAACCGCTTATGTGTTCTTGCCTCATGCCCCGTCGATTATCAACCATGCCATAGAAAGGTTCCTGCTATGTACTTTCAAGTTTGTCTAATATATCTGCCAGGAACTTTTCATCACACGTGCCACCTTGCCCATTCTTGTTTTAGTGCTTTGCTTGCTATGAATGCTAAGCTACAGTGGCTGCACTCTCTCCCGACCCACCTACTGAGCATCTCAATTAAAACAATCACTCTATCACCATTGTTGGTGCAACCCTACGGTTTGCACTCGGCTTGTCCGTGTGCGTGAATGCGTGTGTGCATGGAATGGTATGAGGGCATGGGATAATATATATTTCATGCTTATAATGGTGTGTGAATGATGGGTCATGATGTCGAGTGTGTGTGTCAAGTCAATAGCGAATTATCGCTAGTCGCGTGTAACGTGGTCATTTTGTGTGTCCCACGCGGTTTCTATTTTGTCGTGCGCGGTTTCTATTTTGTCGCTTGTCGAACGTTCGGCATGTCGCAGGTGTGTGCAACAGACCCATCAAGAACTCGAGGATGAGTTTTTGATGAAGAACCCGAGCCTTGGTTGCAAGCTTCAAGTGATTTCGAAGCTCGCCAAAAGGGTACACCTCAAGATATTGAAGATAGTTACATTACTTTGTGTAGTGTAACATTTCAGTTGGTGTAGGCCCTTGTGAAGGGTAGTTTCGAGACCCTTCTTGGTTGGGGACAGTGTGGCACTGTTACACATCACTGTACCTCGGCTCTTGGGGTTTGTAGGAGGTGGGAGTCATTCCCAACTCGTAACTCTTCCTAACTCTTCCTATTGTGTGTTCTAAGACTATGTTGCTGCCATAGTGCCGTTCGTTCAAACCGACGCTGTGTCGTCAATTCTTGATGAAATCGTGCGATCTAAATAGCCTATTGTAGACAACGTTAAGGCGCTCCAGATCCAAGTTGAATGAAGTCATTTGGAGTTGTGAGCAGATCGCTATGACCGTTTAAAGCCGTTGTGCAGAAATCCGACTGTGCACTCTATCTTTCGTTTTAGGCACATTGGAGCCTACTGTGTCTATAACAAGTGGTATCAGAGTCCCTTGGAGCAGTTTCGACAATTGCTGGACCTGAGGAAAGGGGTGGCTGAGGTGCTGGTGGCAGTGGAGAAGCCCAAGCTCAAGGCCAACCCCGTGATTCAGCCATGGCGCCCGTGCAACCAAGTGTTGGCCCATCTAGGGACGAGCCTAGAGTGTTTGGCCTTGACAAGTTCAACGGTGACAACTTTGCTGAGTGGTCCTTCAAAATAGAGAACGTATTTGACCACTACGACCTGCTGGAGGTGATGGAAGGAACGGAGAAGCGCCCCGAGAACGACCTGGAGAAGAGCCCGTGGGTGAGGAAGAGCGCACAAGGCTACCTCTTACTTGGGCAAGCGTTGGGGAGCAGCCAGATCCGTCACATCAAGCCATTCCAGCGTGATCTAGAGAAGAGACCAAAGGCATGGGCTGCTCTCAAGGGTGTACACGCTCCTGCAACAGCGGCGGTAGCTGTGGTGTTGGAACGGCAAATTGCGACGCTACGAATTGAAGAAGATGAACCCGTGGAAGAAGGGGTGCAGAAATTCTTCGACTTGTTGACGCGGCTTGAGGGAGCTGATTTGAACTACAGTGAGCTCCAAAAGAAGACCAAGTTGCTGGCCCTACTCCCCGAGTCATGGTCCTCGCTCATCATCAACCTGAATCGCGACTTGCCCCGCCTCTCGCTTGAAGACGTGAAGCGAGCTATCCTTCAAGAGGACTTCCGCCGCCGTGAGTTGGCGAGTGCGGATGGCGCTGGGGCAGCGAGCGTCGGCCGTGGATATGGCTGAGAAAGAGGCAAAGGACGAGGGGGAGGAAGGTTTGGTGGCAGCAACTTCGGCGGAGGCCGCGGGAATGGCGGTTACGGCAGCGACGACAAGAGTTACGGTGGCGGACGCGGACGATTTGACGGCGAATGTCACTATTGCGGCAAGAGCGGACATATGTGGCGCGATTGCTTCAAACTCCCTGATGGTTGGACCCTTGCTCAAATGTGAAGAGCGAAGATAACGACAAGGACCCGAGCGGCGATCGGTACCCGGGCCTATTCTACTTCGTGTCGACGCAAGTACCGGCTGGTCCAGAGAAGAACGAAGGCTTTGAGGAGCCAGCAGCAGTAGGGAAGGTGACCCTACACCCCCTGGACTATTGGGTGATCGACAGCGGCACTACCTACAGCATGACACCTCGCCCGGACTTGCTCACCGAACTTGAACCGTCACCGGTGAAGCATGTCACATCGGCTTTGGGGCAGCGAGCAGAGGTGAAAGGCATGGGGAAGGCCATGTTCAAGGGTGCTGATGGGAAGATGGTGGGCCTCAAGAACGTGCTTTGGGTGCCCAGCCTTGCTGCAAACCTGATTTCCGTGCGGCGGTTGGCAAAGGCCGGCATGGACACGAACTCGAAGGGAGCCAAGACCTACACCGCGAGGCTTGGCGAGCGGATTCTTTGGAACCTCCATGAGGACAGGGATGTCTACAACGAGATGTGGCAGATCCCTATGGTCCCTATGCCTAAGGAGAGGCAAGTGGCAGCAAGCGTCAGCACCAAGGGTGAAGCGGTTGGTAGCGGCGATGGCGCGAACGGTCGCGCTAAGGAGAATGAGCCCGAGAAGGGCAAACCTGGAGGGACCAGCAAGCTGAGTGAACCTAAGGAGAGTGGTGCAGCAGCCAAGGAGCAGCACAAGGGTGAGGAGAACCCCGAGGCAGCAGCAGAGGAGTACGGAGAGAGCATGTGGGGCGCTATTGCGAGCGCGGCATTCTCTAATCCGACTTCGGCTACGGGGGAGTGTGATTGGCTCACCTTGCATCGGCGAATTGGGCATGTGGCCCTACCCATCTTGCAGCAGCTAGTGAAGAACCAGATGGTTGCTGGCATACGTGTGAAGGGGGAGCCCGATGAGGTGCTTGGCTGCCCGACGTGCATGCAAGCCAAGTTCACCCGTTTCCCGTTCTCTAATTCGGAGGCAACGGCAAAGGCACCACTTGATGAGGTGGTGATGGACGTGGTGGGCCCCCTGAAGCTTGGAGCTGCTGGTGCAGAGTATTTCTTCACCATAGTGGATGTCTACACCCGCATGACGTGGGTGTACGTGCTGGCCAAGAAGAGTGACGTGGCTGAAACGTTGAAGACGGATTGGTTCCCGATGGTGGATCGACAACAAGACCGTCTAGTCAAGTCAATTCGCACCGATCGAGGGGGAGAGTTCCTGAGCAAGGAGTTTGGGTTGTGGCTGAAGAAGAATGGCATTTAGCACTCCCTCACCATGCCATACTCCCCTGCAATGAACGGCATCGCCGAGCGAGCGAACCGGACGATCACGGAGGCGGCACGCGGGTTGCTCATTGAAGTCGGGCTACCCGATTACTTCTGGCCTGATGCGGTGCGGAGCGCGTCTGTGGCCAAGAACAGAGTTTTGACTCATGTGGGAGCAGACAAATGGGTGCCCTATGTGGAGTGGCTTGGAAGGAAGCCAAAGTTGGATATGCTTCGGGTGTTTGGGTGCATGTGCATGGCGCTCGTGCCTAAGCAACTTCGGCACAACAAACTTGGTGCCAAGGCGGTGTGGGTCGTGCACTTGGGCATGGCTCAAAACAGCAAGGGGTGGCTTCTTTGGGACCCATTCACCAAGAATTTCATGGTGAGCAGGGACTGCAAGTTCATGGAGAACTTCATGTACAAGGATTGGAAGGCGGAGAATGAGGCGAAGATAGGCGTGCGGTTTGGGGAGGTGAAGAGTTCCAGGTTGGAGCATGTGGAGCTGCCTTTGGAGCTGAGCAGCGGCAGCACCACCACAAGGCAATCCTCCCTTGTGAATGGGGGAGAGGAGGCTAGGGATTCAGAGGAAGAAGAGGAGGAGGTGCAGCAAGTGAGCGAGCGTGCATCGACACTTCCTTCCCGCACTACGAGCACTCCACGGAACCGAGCCACACCGCAGCAACGCCAAGGCCTTCAAGTCCCTGCAGCTGAGGAGGAAGGAAGGGGGAAGAGGAGAGTTCAACCCCCTAATCGGCTGACCTATGATGCGCCGGGAAAGCAGGGCAAGACAGCCCTGGCCGGAGCGGCAATGATGGTCGGAGACGACGAGGAGAGTGACTACGAGGAGTGTGCCTTCGCCTTCTTCTCTCCGGTGGAGATGCCGGGAGAACCAGCAACTCTCAAGGAGGCCTTGGAGAGTAGTGATGCTGAGGAGTGGAAGAAGGCAATGGAGAGTGAGCTGAAGAGCATCGAGGAGAACGACACGTTTGAGTTGGTGGAGCTACCGGAGGGGCGATTACGTCCAAGTGGCTCTTCAAAATCAAGTCGGATGCCGACGGCAAGATCGAGCGCTACAAGTCTAGGCTTGTAGCCAAGGGGTACCAGCAGAAGGAGAAGGTGGACTTCAAGGAGTTGTTTGCTCCTGTGGTGAAGCCGACGACGCTGCGAACCCTATTCGCGGGAGCCGCCATCAAAGGATGGGTGGTAAAGCAAATGGACATCGTAACGGCATTCCTTAACGGCATCCTTGAGGAGGAGATTTTTATGGCGCAGCCAGGAGGGTTTGACGATGGCAGCGGCAGAGTGTGGAAGCTGAAGAAGGCTCTGTATGGGCTGAAGCAGGCCCCTAGGCAATGGTATATGAAGCTGCGCGAAGTGTTGGAGGGGATCGGCTTCACTCCCTCAACGGCCGATCACTCCTTGTTCATGCTTGGCGAGGGGGAGCAGAGGAGCTTCATGGTGGTATACGCGGACGACATCCTGATCTTCTCCCCCTTCTTTGACCTTGTGAATGAGGTGATGCTGAAACTTCAAGACAGGTTCAAGTGCAAGTCCCTTGGGGACGTCAACTTCTACTTCGGGCTCCACGTCGAACGTGACGTGGAGAAGCGGTGCATGCGGGTGCACCAACGGAAGTTCCTGGAGGCCTTGGCTGCCAACTTTGGGTAGAGTGAAGGCCATGTGGCTACACCCTTTCCCTCTGGGTTTGAGTGTGTGAAGGGACCAGAGGAGGAGAGCGTGGGTGAAGAGGAGAGGCGCCGTTTTCACTCGTTGGTGGGCAGCCTCATGTATGCGGCGGTGAACACTCGACCGGACGTTGCCTTTGCTACCGGGCAGCTGGCTAGGTTGTGTAATGCCCTAATGAGGAGCAGCTAGCAGCTGGGATGAGGGTGGCCAAGTACCTTGGCCAAACACCGACCGTTGGGCTGCAATACTCGGCGGCGGCGCAAAGGCGCCAAAAGGGCGCGGATGGTGTTGAACCCGGGCGTTTGTTCCCAACCGCCTACTCGGATGCTTCATATGCATCAGAACCAGAGGACATGACAAGTGTTGGAGGGTTCATATGCTGTGTTGGTGGAGGCCCAACTGCTTGGGAGAGCAAGAAGCAGGTTGACCAAGCATTGAGCTCGGTGGAGTCCGAGTACATGGCACTCTTCCGTGCCGTACGGGAGATTGTGTGGCAGCGGCGTTTGTTGGCTGAATTGGGGGAGGAGCAGCAAGGACCTACCCCACTCTACTGTGACAGCCAGGGAGCCATTACTCTAGCTAAGAACCCTGTGCTACACGGCCTCACCAAGCACATGAGGGTGAAGTGGCACTGGACGAGGAGCATGGTGGCCGCGGGTGAAGTTGAGTTGCGCTACGTGAAGACGACGGGGTGTCAAACATTATATATGTTGTTGTAGTTGTTTAGGCTACAGTGGGTTAGCCTATAGGGGGTACACATTCCTAGTTTTTCATACTTGTACTCATTTCACTGTTAGTTCATTCATTCTTGTTCAACATGGTATAGAGCAGGTCCTTCCTAGGACCAATTTTTTTAGGGCCCACCACTACCTACCTACCTACCTGCGCCCTAGGGCGCCTCGGCTTTCACGCCCCTAGAGGCCCCGTCGGCCCCACGCTCTCGCACCTAGAGGCCTCAGTCGGCCCCGCTCTCGCTTTTAGAGGCCCCGAATCGGCCCCGCGCTTACCCCTAGAGGCCCGCGTCGGCCCCGCGCTCGTCCTTAACGGCCCCGAATCGGCCTCGCGCTTACCCCTAGATGCCCGCGTTGGCCCCGCGCTCGTCCCTTCCGGCCCCGATCGGCCCCGCCCTCGTCCCTCACGGCCCCGATAGGCCCCGCGCTCGCCCTTAGAGGCCCACGTCGGCCCCGCGCTCGTCCCCTACGGCCCCGATCGGCCCCGCGCTCGTCCCTCACGGCCCCGATAGGCCCCGCGCTCGCCCCTTAGCACCCACGTCGGCCCGCGCTCGTCCCTCACCGGCCCCCACCCACTCCCTCCGCCTTAGCGGCCCCGAGCCGACCAGAGCCGCCCAGCCCTAACGGAACCGAGCCGCCCGACCCGAGCCGCCAGCCCTAACCGACCCGAGCCGCCCGAACCGAGCCGCGCCGCCCGACCCGAGCCGCCCGAACCGAGCCGCGCCGCCCGACCCGAGCCGCGCCGCCCTACCTATATCGAGCCGCGCCGCCCTACCTCTACCGAGCCGCGCCGCCCTACCTACCCTACTGCTCCTACTGCTGCTACCATGGCTAGCCCTCCTGTGCTAGCCTTCGATGCTGAGGGCCGCCCAGTGAAGTTCGACACCTGGCTTGATGACCTACACCTCTTCCTACAGCTTACTGCGAAGGAAGACATCTCGCTGTACGATCATGCCTTAGGCCACGCTACTGCTCCTGCTGCTACTGCTGACAGCACTGCCCGCTCACAGTGGCAGACTCGTGACGCCCATACTCGCTTCGCTATTCGCAACTCTCTGCCGATAGATGAGCGCGAGCACTTTGGGCAGCACAAGACTGCACAGGCACTGTACACTGTTGTCGTTGCCTGCTACTCCTCACCGGCCTCTGCCGCTCTAGGCCGTCTCTCTCTTCCCTACCTGTTCCCCGACTTAGCTTCCTTCCACACTGTCGCTGATCTCATTACCCACCTCCGCACTAGTGAGGCTTGCTTCCGCGCCGCTATGCCTGATGAGTTCCTTGCCAAGAACCCACCCCCGCTCTGGCTCACTCTCTACCACCTAGTCACGCGTCTCCCTGACACTCTGCGCTCAGTCAGGGACCACTTCCTAGCTCGCTGCTCCACCGAGCTCACCCTTGCCCTCCTCGAGAAGGAACTGCTTGCAGCTGAGGCTAGCATAGTCGCTGTAGGTGCCTCTCCCGGTGACCCCCGTACCCCGTTCTTTGAGGGGTGTTCTCCCTCCCCCCTTCTTCCCTTTGTCGCCCCTGCTGCTGCTGTCGACCTCCTTGGTGCTGAGAAGGTCGGGACTGCGTCTGCTTCGAGTGGGCGCCGCAGCGACAAGGGCAAGGGGGGCAAGGGCGGTGGTGGTGAAAGCGGGGGTGGCGGTGGTGGGGGAGGTGGTGGTGGCGGGGGGGGTGGCGCGGGTGGGGGAGGTGGCAGCAGTGGGGGGGGTGGCGGCAGCGGCGGGGGAGGTGGCCGGGGCGGAGGAGGTGGTGGGGGTGGCAGTGGACGAGGCAGCAACCGGGGTTGGGGTGGTCGAGGAGGTGGTAGCGGCGGTGGTGGTCGTGGAGGCACTGGCGGTGGCCAGGGCCAGCAGCACACTCCGTCGCCCCAGGAGGTCCGTGAAGTGGTACTCTCAGCACGGGGGGGGGGGTGGCCTTAGCTGCACGTACGTCATTCGCACTGGTGACCGCACTGGCCAGCCGTGTGGGGGACCGCACGCCACACAGCGTTGCTTCGCTCGTCTGAACGACGCTTGGCGTGTTCAGTTCCCTCAGGCCACTGAGCTGCCCCGCTGGGTTGATCTCCTGAAGAAGGGGATTGATATTTATGCTCTAGACTTTGATGCTATTCTCACTGCCATGTATGTGATGTCTACTAGTGGAGAGGGTGCTGAGTACCTGAGTGTCCCGCCCGACCCGGGCATTAGGACTAGTGCGTCTGCCGCTCCAGGTACTCGCGTATCCGCTACCCCGGAGTGAGTGGTACTTACAGTACTGCAGCCTCCGGAGTGTTACCTCTGGGACCAGGCGTACTACAGGGACTGATGCTCGTACTTCTCCTCCTAGTCGGGAGCTCCCCTCTCGTGAGCGGATCCGTGAGTGGTACGAGCGCCGTTGCACACTTCGGAGTGGAGCGCCTCGTCTCACGGACCCGGCTGCCCCTGGTGCTACGGACCCGGGCGTTGGAGCTGCTGCTGGTGCTGCGGACCCTTGCGTTGGAGCTGCTGCTAGTGCTGCGGACCCGGGAGTTGGAGGTGCTACTGGTGCTGAGGACCCGGGCGTTGGAGCTGCGGCAGGTGCTGTGGACCCTGGTGTTGGAGCCACTGCTGGTGCTGAGGACTCGGGCGTTGGTGCTGAGGCTAGTACTGGGGACCTGGGCGTTCGAGCTGCTGCTGGTTCTGGTACTGCCGCTGGGGGTACAGGTGCTGTCCCTGCTGTGTCTACAGTCGCCGCGCGCCCTCAGCTGTACTTCGTTCCGCTCCTTCAGCAGGTTCTTGGTCTCTCGCCTCCTCCTGGTCCTCCTCCCTTAGCGTGCAGCCGACCTCCCCACTACCTGCTCCTTCTCCTTACACTGGTCCTACTGGCGGTCTTACTGAGCGTCGTGAGTCTGCGTCTCATCCTGCGTCGCCTGTCCGTCCTGCTAGCGCTAGTGCTCGTAGTTCGCGCCAGCGTCCTCCTCCTGCCCCTGGCACGCACCGGATGTCTCTACGTCCGTCTACTGCTCCTCTGCGTGCCCCTTTGCCTTCTCCTCCTGCGTCCTCTCTTCCTACTCTCGCCGACCCTGCGTCGGACTCTCTTCGTGCTGCCAGTCCTACTGTCACGCGTCTCCTTGCTACTGCCGTCACTGACCCTTCTTTCGAGTCTTCTGTTGCGTCTGCCCTAGTTGCTGAGCTCGTCGACTTTGCTGCTCACTGTCGCCTAGACTACGCTGCGAGTCTTGTCGCTGAGTCTGAGTCTGTCTGTCCTCCGTCCGTCGGGGGTGCGTGTGCCCTTGGCACGGACGTCCTTGAGGACAGGCAGGAGGAGTTCCAGTGCTTGGCCGCTGTTTCACCTCATCTCGTGTCCGTACTGCTTACCCCTGAGGGAGACCCGGATGCACTTGACATCCCGACTCCGCGCTCTTACGCGGAGGCGATAGAGGGTCCCTACTCCTCTCAGTGGCAGGCAGCTATGGATGCAAAGATGGCTTCTTGGAAGTCCACAGGCACCTACGTTGACGCTGTCCCCCCTCTTGGGGCGAACATCGTCAGTGGCATGTGGATCTTCAGGGTGAAGCGGCCGCCGGGTTCTCCGCCTGTCTTCAAGGCGCGTTACGTGGCTCGTGGCTTCAGTCAGCGGCAGGGAGTGGACTACTTTCAGACCTTCTCTCCCCACCCCGAAGATGACCACTCTTCGGGTACTGCTGCACGTTGCTGCTCACCGGGACTACGAGCTGCACTCTCTCGACTTCAGCACAGCTTTCTTGCAGGGCAGCCTGCACGAGGAGATCTGGCTGCGCCGCCCACCTTGCTTCACTGGGTCTTTCCCTCCTGGTACCCAGTGGAGTCTACGGCGTCCAGTCTACGGTCTCCGCCAGGCGCCACGTGAGTGGTACGACACACTGAGGACTACGCTTGCGGCTCTTGGGTTCGCTCCTTCTACTGCCGACCCGTCGCTAATTCTACGCACCGACACCTCTCTGCCGCCGTTCTACATCCTCGTGTACGTTGACGACTTGGTCTTTGCCACAGCTGACACTACTGGACTCGACTACGTGAAGTCCGAGCTGCTGAAGAGACACACGTGCACTGACCTGGGTGAACTGCGCAGCTACCTTGGCTTGCAGATCACCCGGGACAGAGCACGCCGCACCATTACCTTGACTCAGTCACACATGGTGCAGCAGGTCCTTCAGCCCTTCGGCTTCACGTACTCCTCGCCTCAGGCCACTCCTCTGTCTACTCGCCACTCGCTCTCAGCTCTGCCTTCGGATGAGTCCGTAGAGTCGAGTGGCCCGTACCCAGAGCTTGTTGGCTGTCTCATGTACCTGATGACCTGCACACGACCTGACCTTGCATACCCTCTTAGCATTCTTGCGCGCTATGTTGCTCTTGGGAGACACCGACCAGAGCACATGGCTGCAGCGAAGAGGGTGTTGCGCTACTTGTGCAGTACGTCGGGCATGGGGCTAGTGCTTGGAGGGCGGAGTCCAGTGGTCCTCACTGGGCACGCAGACGCTTCTTGGGCTGACGACCAGGCTACGCAACGGTCGTCACAGGGTTACACCTTCAACCTTGGTTCCGGCTCTGTTTCGTGGCGGGCTACTCGCTCGTCTTCTGTTCTCGGCTCCAGTTGTGAGGCTGAGATCTACACAGGGGCCATGGCTGCTCAGGAGCTTCGCTGGCTCGCCTACCTACTGACCGACCTTGGAGAGCCGCCTCGTTCTCCTCCAGTCCTGTACGTCGACAACAAGGCCATGCTGGCCTTGTGTCGGGAGCAGAGACTGGAGCACAGAACAAAGCACATTGCTCTCCGCTACTTCCTTGCTCGTGAGCTACAGCAGCGTGGTCAGTTGCGGCTTGCGTACGTGGCCTCTGAGGCCAACACTGCTGATGTCTTCACCAAGGCACTTCCGCCTTGTGATCATCAGCGCTGCTGTACCCAGCTGGGTCTTGTGTCTGTCTTGCCTCACTTGCTCTCCTCTTGACTCTCTTTGTACTGTTACATATATATATATCACTGCTCTTGCTTGTTTAGTCTTATATATATATATGTACTCCTGCATGTGAACTGGCCTTGTGGCCTTGCACTTGTGCTCGGATTGCTGCCAGAGATGACTTCCAGGAAGCCATCTCTGCGTCCATGGCTGAGTGCCACTGTGAGGAGTAGGGACCCTCGATCGCCTCAGCGTACGATCGAGGAGTCGGGATGTCTGGTGCATCCGGGTCTCCCTCAGGGGCAATCAGCATGGACACGAGATGAGGCAAAGCAGCAGCAAAACACTGGAACTCCTCCTGCCTGCCCTCAAGGACGTCCGTGCTAAGAGCACACTCACCCCCGACGGACGGAGGACAGACAGACGCAGACTCAGCAACAAGACTAGCAGCGTAGTCTAGACGACAGTGAGCAGCAAAGTCGACCAGCTCAGCAACTAAGGCAGACGCAGCAGTGGACTCAAAGGAAGGGTCAGTGATGACAGTAGCCAGGAGACGCGTGACAGTAGGACTGGAAGCACGAAGAGAGTCAGACTCCGAGTCAGCAAGAGCAGGAAGAGAGGACTCTAGAGGAGACGGCAAAGGGACACGCTGCGGAGCAGTGGAAGGACGCAGAGCCATCTGGTGCGTGCCCGGGACAGGAGGAGGATGCTGACGCGGAACACGACGGACTAGTGCGTGCAGCACGAACAGGCGACGCAGGACGAGACGCAGGCGCACGACGCTCAGCAAGACCTCCAGTAGGACCAGTGTAGGGAGAAGGAGCAGGCAATGGGGAGGCGGGCTGTAACTGTGACTGCGACTGGACAGGCGGTGGACACTCTAAGGAAGGAGCAGGACCAGCAGAAGGCGGGAGACCAAGATCCTGCTCAAGGAGCGGAACGAAGTACGGTCGCGGCCGCGCAGCGCCTCCAGAACCAGGATGGACAGCACCAGTACCCCCAGCGGCAGCACCGGTGCCAGAAGCACCTCCAGCTCCAGTAGCGCCAACTCCAGCACCCTCAGAAGCACCAGCGCTAGCAGCACCTCCAGCGCCAACACCCCCAGCAAACCTAGCTCCAGTAGCTCGAGCAGCACCTACTCCAGCAGTACCGCCAGCTCCAGCACCGCCAGTAGCTCCAGCACTAGGAGCACCCGCAGGCTCAGCACCTCCAGGACCCCCAGTAGCACCAGCAGCACCTCCACCAGGACTAGCTCCAGCAGCTCCAGCAGCACCCCCAGTCTCAGCAGCTCCAGTACCGCCAGTACGAGCACCTCCAGGATTAGTGGCTCCAGCACTTCCAGCGCTGACCCCAGGGTCAGCAGCAACACCAACTCCAGTAGGCTCAGCGCCCGCAACTCCACCTCCAGCAGCACGACGGAGGCTGCGACAGTACCGAAAGTATTACTCACGCAGTTGCTGGGAAGAGAGAGCGCCCCCAGGCGCAGCACCCCCAGGCTCATGACCTCCAGACTCAGCACCCCCAAGGACAGCACCCCTAGGCACAGAACCTGCAGTCTCTGCACCCCCACGCTCAGCACCCGCTAGTCTCCGCACCCCCAGGCTCAGCACCCCCAGTCTCCGCACCCCCAGGCATAGCACCCCCAGTCTCCGCACCCCGTGGCTCAGCACCCTCAGACTCAGTACCCCCAGACCCAGCACCACCAGGCTCAGCACGCTCAGTACCTCGCGCAGGACCAGAGTCGACAGCTACCTCGACAGGCTCAACCTGGGTCTACATTGGGAAACACCTGAGGGAGCAGGACCCTGGGGAGGCAGGGGGTCTACCAAGGCAGCACCTGGCGTGAGGAAGAGCGGTGGAGGGGGGAGTGGGGCAGTGCGGTAGGGGAAGAGACGGTAGAAGGGGACCGACTCGTCAAACGTGACGTCTTGGGAGGACAGAACACGGCGCGAGGTGGGGTGGTAAAACTGCCAACCAGGCGCGTCAGGGGGGAAGCCAAGGAAGACGAAGGGAGCAGCACGGGGGGACAGCTTGTCCGCAGACAAGTCGCGGACAAAAGCCCGAGATCCCCAGACACGAAACGCAGACGCATCGCCAACCTTCCCCGTCCACCGCAGAGTAGGGGAGGTCTCTGGCAAGGAGACCTGGGGCTGAAGGTTGATCTGATGCGCCGCGTGCTGAACCGCGAATGGCCACAGAAAATAGGGAGTAGCCGCATGGATCATGGACGTACGAGCGACGTCCATGATCATGCCAATGCGGCGCTCAGCAATCTCATTTTGCTGTGGAGAGGCCGGAAGCGTGAACGTCTGGCGGATGCCCTGTGCACGACAGAAGGCTCGAAGAAGGTCAGAGGAAAACTCACCGCCTCTGTCGGAGTGCAGACGCTGAACAGGAAAGTCCGAGCCGAAACTCTCTCTGAGCTGGAGACGAGCTGCGCAGATCCAGCCGATCAACACCTCAGTGACTTCACCCTTGCTGCGCAAGGGGAAGACCATGGTGTAACTCGAGTAGTCGTCAACCACCAGCATGAAGTAACGCTCGTGACCCTGTCCACGGACGCGGGCGGGGTCCCACACGTCCAGGTGAAGCGTCTGCAGTGGAGCCTGTGTCGAAGGAAACTCGGAGGAGTGAGGAGCAGCGCGCTGCCGCCCCTCGACGCAGGGAACGCAGGTAGGGGCAGGCCCCGGAGGAAGAGGAGGTAGGGACTGGGGGAGACTAGAGACAAGGAAACGAGAGGCCATGCCTCGGAGACAAGGCAGGGAGGGGTGACCAAGGCGATGGTGCCAGAGGAGAGTCTGGTGAGACAGGAGACGACACGAGCAGGGGGCAGACTCAGAACCACCTGGACGCTGCAGCAAACACCTGACCCGACGCAGCTACCTGACCAGACGCAGCAACCGGAGGAGACTCAGTAGTCAGTGTGTACAAGCTCGACCCCGGCTGACAGGTAAACGTGGCCAAGTGTCGGCCCGTCCGAGCACACGTACAGTGGGTCACTCGGTGACTCGCAGGAGTGAACTGGTGAACCCCTGCATCCTGTAGGTCAGCACCACTCACCAAGTTCGTAGAGAATGAGGGGAGGTAAAGACCTGACAGGGTGCCAGAAGGGGCCGCTGGACACGGTAAGACAGTGGAGAAGTGGGCAAGGACAGGACCCCCAGAGGAGTCCGCCAGGGAGACTGCAACCGGCCGACTAAGCGGCGTGAGTGTGGTGCGGGAAGCACCCGAATCAAGGGTGAAGGTGTGCAAAGCCTGAGCCGACGTGGTGCCTGAGAGAGCAGACTCACCAGCACCTGGGGCAGCAGACTCACCAGTACCTGGAGCAGCAGACTCACCAGCACCTGGAGTAGCAGACGCACTAGCTCCTAGAGCAGCTGCCTCACCAGTACCTAGAGCAGCAGCCTCAATGCCCGGGTCAGGCGGAACACACAGGTAACAGTCACCCTAATCACGAGTAGGCAATGCATACATGGCAGTGAGGATAGCATCATAGTCAAGAGTATAGATATCTACCCTCTGCCCAAGCAGCTGCACCCAGTTGGGGAGCTCAGCTGCGTCGCCAAACTCCGTATGCCAGGCGTCGCTCAGACGGGCGAAGCAGCGGGACACTGTGTGACCGAACGTCCCGCAAGGCTGACCAGTCCGAGCACCAGTGCGAATGACGTACGGACAACGAGCAGTACCTTGTGACCCTCCACGCTGAGCGTACCACTCACGAAGCTGCTGGGGCGAAAGGACCGCGCGCGGACGACGCTGCAACTGCACCTGGCCACTACAAGCAGCTCCCGAACTACTCACTCCAGGACGACTCCCACTACGGCCACCCCGACAACCCCAAGTAGCGTACCACTCACGAAGCTGCCGGGGCGTGAGGGACTCACGCGGACGTCTCTGGAGCTGCATCTGATCACCGTCAAGAGCAGCAGTAGCAGTAGTAGCAGTGCGGCCACCCCTACAACCCCAACTAATGTACCACTCACGAAGCTGGTGGGGGGCGAGGGACTCACGCGGACGGCGCTGGAGCTGCATCTGGGCACGCCAGGAGCAGCTGTAGCAGTAGAAAGAGCAGTAGCAGCAAGAGCAGTAGTAACAGCAGTACGAGCAAGGCAGTGCTCACCAGTGGCAAGAAGGGCAGGCGTACGACAGCGGCAACGGGGAGGTCGCTACCACCGCAGGGCGAGGGCTCCGCGGCTGCTGCAGGGGCGGCTGCTCCAAGGGCCAGGGGCGGCTGCTGCAGAGGCGGCTGCTCCAGGGGCCAGGGGCGGCTGCTGCAGAGGCGGCTACTCCAGGGGCCAGGGTGCGGGATAGGGCAGGGCGCCGCGGCGGCTGACACAGCAGCGGCGGCGGCGGCTGCTGTTGTCGGTGGCGGCTGCTGCGGCCTGGGCAGGGGTGGCGGTGGCTGACACAGCAGCGGTGGCGGCGGCTGCTGTTGTCAGGCGGAGGCGGCAGCTGCTGCTGTCGGCAGCGGCAGCTGCTGCTGTTGGCGGCGGCTGCTGCTGCGGCCCGGGCAGGGGCGGTGGCGGCTGACACGGCAGCGACGGCGGCGGCTTCTGTTGTCGGCAGCGGCGGCGGCTGCTGTCGACGGTGGCGG